CCCCGCCGAAGAGGCCAGGGCAGTCGGTATCGGTACTCGTCTCCACCGTACACCCGCCGTTCTCACGGCGTACCCAGGAGGTCATGGTCGCATCACCATCCTCCCGAAGGGTTGGAATATCGCACCTCCGCCAGGTGGCGCCAGGGGTAAACCTCCGTCTCTCCGACCCGACGTCTCGGTTCCAGCAGGGCCGACTCCGGTTGTCACCGGAGGGAACCGACCAGGGGATCGTCGCCGACTAACTCGGACGACCTATCCGACCGCACTAACGGAAGCAACCTCGAAGAAACTCTCCAGCGACCGGACTCCGAGACCAAACACCCGGGACGTTGTCGACGCACCGACCAGGCGCAGACACGACCGCGGGACCGAGGAGCACCCGGAAGTTCATAGCCCTGAGACCACCGTCTCCGTCGCCTACCCGACCCTTGTATATAATCCCGCCAAACGGCATTTGTACATAAACTGTAAATAGCCTCGTAGAATAATAAGAACGTCCGACGTCCCGACGCAAAGCTGCTTGTCTCTCTCTCACTCCCTCACCTCTCTTCCCAAACTTTGGGCGTCGGCGAACCACATCCCGGCTAAATGGGGGTCCACCAAAGACCGTACCGTTACAATGTCAGTAGGTAAATACGGTGCGACAAAAAAACAAAATGCAATCTCGAATGAAAATCTGTCTAAGTTTCCATCGCGGGCCTAATATATCGCATTTTTGTTTATTTTTGATTGGTTATTGTCTTTGCTTAAGTTAATTTAATTTTTCCTTAAACTCATCCCATTGATCCCAAAAACCTTGAATACCTTTTCCACAACCTTCCCTCTCGGTTTACCTAGCTGCTTAGTGCGGTAGAGCCATTCCCGCCACACGTTTCGCGGACCACTCGGAACATGAAAATATGTTTCAGTATAGTCCGCGGGAAAACGTGTTCAAAACGAACTCGATTTTTAATTCCTCTAGATCAAAAGGTCCTCTTAAAAATCTAAAAGTGATCGCTGTCTTGATGTCGCTTTTCGCGTTGTTAAATCGAAACGTATGACCAAGTTAACTTTTTCACGCTATAATCAAGTTAACTTTTTCACGCTTTTCGTATCGCTCAGCCAACTCCGCTCACTTCACTTTCCAAAGCTGCGTGAATCTCGAAGAATTTAGTTTGGCTGCACAGATGTTATGCACATGCTGGTACCATTGTTTGTCAAGTGGTATGGTATCAATTTACTTACAATTGTGCAATACTGGTTGCAATGGATATAAATAAACAATTTACTATTTTTTTAAGATATCATGTACAAAACTTTTCATCTGTATTTAATAAATATATTGAATTTTTAATGAAATGTGTCTAACAACATGTGTGTAACAACGTTAACCAGGGTTATTATCGGAGTGTTGCGGATCAAGCGAGTTTCGCTGCAGCGAAGCTTCCAGAGCACCGGGTTGCCGCACGCCAAGCGCGCCAGGTACGGCTGTCTCGCCGCCGAGTGCGAGGCAATCTCGCGCGTGGATCCGCGCCGCCATAACTCGCTGGTATGTTGCGGGGCAGCGTGCTGTCCGAGCGGTGCTCCCGCGAGTGAGTCCCCTCACGACAGAGCGCTCCGCAGAAGCGAAACGACAGATCCTTTTCGTTTCCCACAACACCTGGGTTGACTGAGCGGTGATCCTACTTCTCATGCAGCTTTTGATGCTGTTATTTTTGGTCTGTGCGGTCATCTTTGCTATTGATATAATAATCTCGTGTGCCACGGTTTTCCTTACTGGGGAACTTTGTTCTGAGCTTCGTGGTTTTATGTGCCACAAGTTTTTCTGTCAAAGTAAATTCACGGAGATCTTCCGCCGGATAATTAATCGTTAATATATATCGGTAATTAAACCGCCGATTAATCAGATATCAAATATGGCTCGATAAGAGCGATTGTCCGCGCACGGTATCGCAAACGGGAACAGTAGACATACCGTCTCCCTGCACCTTGCGCGCTTCCAAGTACCACTTACCCGAGGTGTAGACGTTAAGGGGCATCTACACTTGCGCTTATAACACACTTACTAAGTCCGAAAAAGGACTTAATCCACAGAGCAGAGTTAGTGTTTCCTCAGCGCCGTGTAGGGGAATCATATTAGATTTTCACTTTGAAAAAATTCTCCTATCAATGATTCCTTTTGCAACGTGTTTGGGAAAGTGTGTAGAATAACATATCAAAATGTCTCCGCGAGAAAGTGGGTGCTAAATTTTTTATTTAACAATTTATATGCAAAAATGCAGTTTTTCGCTAATAACTTTTTAAATTTAATTTTTATCAAAAAATTAATAGCGCCATTCGAAAGAACGGAAAATTTTACAAAAGATATATGTAACTTTTTTTTTTCAATATAAATGAAGCGACCAGTAATTTATTAATTAACGCTTCTATTCGTGCTGCGCATGTCACTTGCAACGCTGGAAGAAGGCGTCCGCGAGCGCATGCACCGTACAAAATTAGCTGTAACTTTTAATTGACAAAATCAAACGACATGAAACCAATTGGATATTAGAAAGGAACATTTTTCTAACATGTTATGCGTGTTTAAATTTTTTTACATATTTAAAAAATTTTTAACATCAGCTGGAAGTTTCGTATTGCACGAATTATCGATTATTTCGTAAAATTCGATGATACTCGAATAAAATAGAAAAAAAACAAGTAATGAGATTCTATATTTAAAGGGATTACCTAAGATATGTTTATCATCAAAAAAATTAGAAAAATTTATTTTACAAAAATAAGGCCCTTAAAGTTAGTCGATTTACAAAAATTGCATTTTTTCATATTAAATTCTTAACTTTGATCGTAAATAATAAAGTCTTGGAAAATGATATCGACATTGTATAAATGATCAATTTAAAGCTTATGATGTGTACTTTAAGGAAAAAAAATTATTTTTATAATTACAATTTTTTTACTTAAAAAAAAAAAGAAAAAGAAATTCTTTTCACGTAAAAAGTCTGAAAAATGCAGTACAAAGAAATTGCTGTAAATGAAAAACAAAAATTTTTTTAACACTCTGACCACATGGAGGTAGTAACTGACATATAAATCTTGAAGGATAAGCCTAATAATAATTTTTTTTCGATGTAAAAACAATCGGGAATCAAAAAAGGTAAAAACAGCNTATATGACATTTTCATCCGCCATTTTGATTCCGCCAGTTTGAATTTCTGACATTTGATATCAGATTCGTAATCAGCATACTTGAAAACCCCGACGAACTCATTTTCATAATTTTTCATCGATTTATATTCAAGATGTTCAATTTCACAACTAATTTGGCGTTTAATTGTTGTTATTAAATAAATAAACAATTAGCACCCATTTTCAAGGGGAGACATTTTTTATTTACAGTATGTAGAAGCGAATGCAAAAGGTTTCATCAAAAAATATGGATCGCGGAATTATTTCGAAGTTTAGGCCTTATTTAGTCTAATATGACTCCCCTAGTGTATGCACCAAAGGGTCCGGAATGACTATTAGGGTGACCGAATGTCACTAGGAGTGCAGTTCCATTCCGCTCGATGGGGCGGGGGAACCCGGTGGTTCGCCGCCTTTCTAAAAGGCTTCTCAAGCCCTTCGCGTGTGGGCGAAGCGTCTACCAAGCGCCTTGTATATATCGCGTTTTTAAGTTAGTTTTCATAACATAGTGTCGCGCGCGTAAGGATTAAATGAAATATGTCGACGTGTTCGAGGACACTAGAATCGCCAGCCACTTCAGCCATCTCGCGGATCATTTCATCGCGTTCGGGATCGAAGGACAGCAGATAAGCCTTTCGAAGCTCACTTTCACAGGCACGCTCGTGGCCTCTGAACATCCTCATGTGCGTTCGTAACCCGGATGGTTCTCACGTGGCGTGTAAACACATGAGCGTATCATCGCGACGACTCTCTACCAATTCATACAAATAACCGCGTTGGTTTCGTCACCCGTGCTGAGTGTTCAAAACACAGGGTTATTACTTTGAAATTGGAATAATCCTGGTCAAATTTCATTTTTCGCTTTTTTCATTTGTTTCTATGGTGTATATTTTTATGGAATTTCTTGCATTATTATATATTGTAATAAATACTTATAAGTATCCATTATATTAAGTAGATACTGAATCCGACATTTCTTACGAGTTTTATGAGTTTCCCCTTAGATGACTGCAATTATTCCGTCTTATTCTACATGTTTATATTAACCAAATATATCATTTGATAGTAATTTAAAGGATCTTAATACTTATAAGTATCCATTATATTAAGTAGATACTGAATCCGACATTTCTTACGAGTTTTATGAGAGTTTCCCTTAGATGACTGCAATTATCCTGTCTTATTCTACATGTTTATATTAACCAAATATATCATTTGATAGTAATTTAAAGGATCTTAGTCCTGTTTTTTATAACACTACGACTTCGGTACATCGGCTCTTATTGGCTATTAATTTAAATTCATTTTATTTGAATATTATTCACGATTATGATCTTGACAACAAATATTAAAGTCAAGGTAATGGAAAGGGCGATCTCTTTCGGAAATTTTACCTATTTTCTTATTATACATATTTTATATGATAATACTTACTTGTGCTACCAAGATTTCACCTACAACACAATACAGACACATGTGGCCGCAAATGTTCAACGCGACAGAAACGAGATATATAAAACGCATCATCGACATTTCCTTGCCTTCTGCCAATACCTACATTAGTACAGTTATTACAGCAATATCATTATATAAACATGCGTATTTATAGACATAAAAAAATAAACAGTATAAACTTACTGAGACGATTAAAAACCCATATAAACAGAATAGAATGCCAAAATAAATTAATATTGCGAGTAGTAATAGGACAAATGTGCTTTCAACAATATCGAAATACCTGAAAGAAGAAAGTTGATGATAATTGAAATCTATCAAGTATCTAGAACGCAGACAGAATTTAAAGATGTAATAATGATGAAATCTAATACAAAATTTCAAAAATTGACACGAAACTTGATTAGTCGTATATGATCCTTAACAATGAAAGTAAGACCACTATTAAAAGTTTTATGCCTCATGTTCATCAACCGTTCTCTAAGATTTTCCATCTGACCGCATAAATGAAATACCAATAATCCAAGTAAGTTATCAACACCGCTGTAAGATGCACCAGCTACTAAGACCATGAGGCTCTGTGCTATAAATGTAACTTCAAAGTACGGACTTTGATCTTTGTTGAACAAATAGTAAGTTTGCAATGGCAAAACTTTGTCTGGATCAGTGACATTTGTGATATATCTCATTGATTTCCCAAAACAAGGTAAAATCGCTAGTAGAAAGAAGCCTACGATCATGAGAACATATCCGAACATAATGATGGCGCGAGCATTCTGCGCGTGTTTCATCATAACACGCAACTCTTTGTCGTTTTTGGTTTTTAACCAATCGTTAGCGATCATTTTTAAAACCAATGTAAGATCTTAAACAAAGTAACAAAATTGTATTAATTAATTTACAGGACGTAAAATGTATACAGTGTCCTAGTTCTAACGATTTTAATTGATTAGACAAGTTTTTCATCTCAAATGGGGACAAATCCTAACATACAGTAACGCTCTAAAGTATTTTGACAAAGACAACAATTGGATTAAATAAATATAAATATTGAGTTAATTAAATATAAATAAAAAATATATATATTTGAACTATCTTTTATAATTCTTTGGTAAAAACTTGAATTGTCTACACATTTGTTTCAAAAGAACTTATAGGGTACGGCAGCGTAACTTCCTTATTTGAAATACCCACCTTTAAAAAACTAACGGTCGTAGAGGGGCGCTAGTGGTCTCATTTGAGAGAGGGAATCCTAAAGTTTTGTTCACCCCTCGGTCAGTCGTCATCATGCGTTGGAACAGTGAGGAGCGCGCGTTTGCTGTAGAAGCGTACTTTGATGACTCTGTACAGTGATGAAGCTCATTTTCACTTGAGTGGGTGCGTCAACAAACAGAATATGCGCTATTGGGCTGCGAACAATCATCGAGAACTCCATCAGAGGCCTTTGCGTTCGCCAATAGTAACTGTTTGGTGTGTGATTTCATCAGTTGGAATCGTTGGTCCATGGTTTTTTTAAGAAAATTAGGTCACAGTAACAGTCAATTCAGACCGTTACGTGAGCATGCTCGATGATTTTTTTTTTCACGACTTGATGAAATGGATTTAGGGAACATATGGTTCCAACAAGACTGAGCAACAGTTCATACTTCAAGAGCATCGATGGCCGTTTTGAGGAACCACTTCTCAGGGCGACTCATCTCCCTGAGGGGTGATTTGGAATGGCCAGTTCGCTTCCCCGATTTGACCCCTTGCGATTTTTTCTTGTAGGGTTTTTTGAAATCCCGCGTTTACGCCAACCGTCCAAAGACCCTAGAAGACTTGAAGGCCAACATTCGGGAAGCAACGGCCAACATACCCGTCGCTACGCTTGAAAGAGTAATGACAAATGCCAGAATTCGGTTTACCCAGTCTATAGACAATGAGGGGCGTCACCTTTCGGATATGATTTTCAAAATTATGTAAGATAAAACTTTAGATGTCTACTTACATTATGCAAAAAAAATAAAAAAATATGTGCCTCATAAAATGCATTTTATTGAATTTTGAAAAAAGGAAATTACGTTGCCGCACCCTGTACATTTAAATAACAAATTTAAACACAACAAGAAATGAAGAACAGAATGACTGATCAAAAGTATTTTGACACTGAAATTAAATGAAAATTTTTAGCACTTAACCTCTTGACATACAATGACGTCTGGGAGACGTCATTCATTTCATGTACCATTGTAGACTTTGACGTCTCCGAGACGTTAAGAACTGTCTCCGGTGACGCCGTGCAGTATATTATTAGATTATTCAATTATTTCACTTGTGATTATTGAATTTCACAAGTTTGCACATAACTGTTCATGGAAGAAAATTAAATAGTATTTTTCGGACGCATCAAATTCCGTTTTATTTGTAATGTCAAGAGGTTAAGCATTATCTTGATCAGTAAATAAATAAATATTTAGTAGCATATCCACTAGCCTTTATAACAGCAGTACAATGAGCCGGCAGTGAACCGAATAACTTTTGTAATCATTTCAAAGGGATTTTTTCTTATTCCTTTTTAAAAGCTTGAAATAAAGCCTCCATATTCGAATAATTTCTGCAACTTACTCTGCGATCTAACTCTTCCAATAGATGCTCAATTGAGTTTAGATCGGCACTTTGTCTTGACCATTCAAGAACCCTGACTTTTTCATGTTTCATGAAATTGGTTATTATTTGGAATTATGCTTTGGGTCGTTATCGTGCTGAATGTACCATCCAAGTAACATGTTCTCTTTAGCATAGGGCAGCATTTGCGTCTTTAACATGTTCTCATATATAAATCGACCCATATTCCCTTCAATTTGAATTAAAATTCCAACTCCATGGCATGAAAAATAGCCACAAACAATAACATTACCGCCTAATGTTTGACGGTAGGTATCGAACGTCATATATTTTATTGACAGTACGTCGAACATATTTAATTCTATTCAATGATATTATTGATTTCAATGATATTTGAAATTAAATTTATTTTCATCACTCCATAAAATATTAAACCATTCAGAACTCGTCCACAGTTTATACCGTTGCAAATGCAAGTGATAACTTTTTATTCTTTACAGATATGAGAAGCTTACGTTGATTGTCGTCCACATAGTCAATAAGATATTAGACGTTGTTTGATATTTAAAACATGAAGATCCATATCGTAATTTTCAATCAGTTCGTTTTTTATTGTTAATGCCAAATAACAAACATCTCCAACGGAGAGACTTTTTATTTTGAGATCAATCATGTAAGTGGTTTCTTTTGGACGACCACTTCGTGGTTTACTTTCGACAGTTTTTCATACTCTGAACACTTTATTCTATACACAGACAAACAGCTGAGATTTTTTTAAAATACCTGTAACTTCTACTTGTGTCCTTCGTTCCTTTAGCGCAGTTATAATTGTTTTCTTAAAGTCATTGAAATACTCCTTATGCTTCGGCATATTAGGAGGACCACAATTAATTAATATAATCACAAATCAAATAATATTACAACGCTTTGAAATGTTCGAAACTTAATAACTTGTCAAAATACTTTTGAGGTGAATATATGAAATGTTTGTCCATCGTAACGTATTATAACCGAACAAGTTGAGACTTGTTAACATATAATAGCAATCACACTATACTCAACAATAGTAAAAACATTTTCTTACATAGTATTATGTAAGGCGTAATAATAAAAAAACTTCTTGCTGTCAAAGTACTTTTGAGCGCTACTGTAGAACGTTGGAGCTATAATAGATTTTAATTTTCATACATATACGTTTCAAGTGGACAAATTAATGGGCTAAAAGTTTGCGCGTTTAGACATGATTCAATATATAGAGTCTGTCAAAAGGAACGGTTAATTATTCCAAAAAATATTGATTTTTAAAAAAATGTTTGCGTCAAAAACTGTAGGGTTTAAAAACTCAAGAGACACTGATAATTATTTGGTCTTAGAATGACCTCGAAAAGTATTATTAACGTCAACATAAAAATTTTAAGTAGAACTCCCTACTTTTTGTTACATATTCTTATAGCTGACGTTAAAACGTTTCCAAAACACTCATTATGTACTGTTTTTCCTTTAAGAGCTTTACGAATTATGGAACTTGAAAGTTGCAATACCGCCGGCATTAGCATTACCCAAGATATATTACGTGGAGGTTGCAAGGTCTGATTTACATCTCTTGTGTGTGTGTGTGTGTGTGTGTGTGTGTATGTGTGTGCACGCGCTTATTATCGCGGACGCAAACTCGCATCTAACGACTCGAGTACAGGAGAGCTTGGAGTCAGTAGAGGTGAGAGGGTTTAGAATTATTAAATACTATGAGAGTGACTCACCATGTGGTCTTAATTTCTGTTGACACACACACACACACACACGCGCGCGCGCGCGTGTGCAGGCAGATACACTCACACAAGAGGTGTAAATCCAGCCGTATAACCTCCACGTAGTACACTTTGGGTAATGTTAATGTCGGCGGTATTGCAACTTTAAGGCCCATAACTCAAAAAGTTTTTATAGAAGAAAAGTGCAAGCAGTGCTTCGGAAACGTCAGTTATAAGAATATGTAACGAAAAATAGGGTTCCATTTAAGATTTTTATGTTGACCTTAATAACTTTTTTAAGGTCATTCTAAAGTCAAACAATTATCAGTATCTGATAATTTTTATTATACCCTATAATTTTTGTTCTAAACATTTTTTTAAATCATTATTTTTTGAAATAATTAACTGTTCCAGAACTTTTGGCAGACTCTGTATAGTAGTAGTAAAGGTGCTACCACTTTTCATACCCTAACTCCTTGTAATAGTAACAATAAATTTTTCTGTTACAAGTCACTGGTGATCCAATCGTTCTTAAATATACATATTATGGTTAATTGAAAAGTTTCCGGCCTGATAAAGAAAACAATATTTTTAGACAAATAAAATTGATTTTTCAACATAATTTTCTTTTAATTCAATACATTTATTTTAGCACTCAGATCTGTTATACTTTTGATAAAATATGATTTGCCAATAACAGAAAAATAGTAAATTACAGTATTTATTACAGCTAAATTTAATGAAAATTATTTCCCAGATAGCAATTTTTTCAAATTTGGGGGCAAGGGAAAAGGTTACAGAAAAACAAATTCAAAGAATACGATGGATGAAGAATCAATTCGAACTTTAATTTGTGCAATTTTGCCATCGCGCAGTTAATTGGTAAGTTGATGCGTTGGATAAGTGGAACAGAATTTTCTCTTGCGGACGTTTCATCTTTGTTTCGGAGTTTAAACGTTGTGATAAGCCAGTATAATATTCGCTATTTATTGTTTCTTCTTTTTCCCAAGGAATCGATGTGAATTATGTGGAAATCTGAAGAAACTGTCGCCGTCACCTTTCCAGCTGATCTAACTGCTTTTACCTTTTTCGGAATAAGTTCACTCTTTGAACACCACTGTTTTTACTGTATGCATTATCGTAGTTGTGTAATAGTGAACTCTAATTTCATCATAGTTACAAAACGTTGCAAAAATCATTTTCATTGTGCTTAAAATGCTTAAGATACGATTCCGAAATGTGCAGTCTAACACATTTTAATCCACTGTCAGCAAACGCGGCATCTATTACGCACTCAACTTCATCAAATCTAAATTTTCGCGTAGGATGATGTGCGAACGTTCAATTGAAATGCCAGCAGGCTCAACAATCTCGTTCAGAATCTATTGGCAAAAGTAGATCAGGTGAGCCAAATCAATCTTTACGTTAGTTGTTTCTGTTTTTTTGGCATCCGGAGCGTTCTGGGCGATAGAAAATGCTGGTGTGATCATATTTAA